ATTCCCCCGGAGGAGCTGGAGGAAGTGTCTGGAGAGAGAGGGAAGTCTGGGCATCTTTGCTTAAACTGCTGCCCCCACGACCTGGTCCCGGATAAGCGGGGGCAAATTGATGGATTTGGTTAATTAACTCACTAATGTATTTGACATTTCACGATCAGAGATTTTAAGTGTGGACACATGTTTTAGAAAACAAATAAATGTTTTTTAAAATAAAAACTTTAATAAAGGATCCAAGTTTAAAAAATCCACATCTGACCATAGCTGATATGGATACCAGATGTCCATTAAAGTACTTGAGTGTATTCAAATAAATCTAGGCTTCAGTAGTGACACTGTAAAAACATTTTATATTTTCGAATGTATAATGTGTCTTCTTATTCATGTGAACAAAGGTCACCTTCTCAGAACAAAAGTGCAAGGGATTTACTATGAAACTGCAAGTTATACAAATGGGAAATGGGGAAATGAATGAGGATGTAAGACGAAGAGGAGTTATGGGAGAATGATAGTGTCCTGGACCACAGCACAAGCTGGAAGGGTGTAGCTTTTATTTGGTGAACAATTTTCACATCCTGATTTGTAGGGGACTGTGAGTATTTACATTACATTTACATTTTATTGTATAAAGTACATACTGCAGGCACTGTAGTTTATTTTGAGCTGATTCAACACATGCAGCTACAAATACTCACTAGAGCAACAAAGGTGCTGAAAATAGCCTCCAACAGATTCACAGTTTCCTCCTGTTTGAGTAACATTTGCTAAAACTACAGTGCCCAACTATTTTAGGAATAACTGACCATATATAGTTGAAGATTTAAATCTTCTGACCAAATCAGAAAATTGCCATGAATAAATAAACACATAATCAAATTCTGAAGTTTAAGTGCTGGGTTCACTGCAAGTTCTACTATCCCCTCCTCCTCCTCCAAATCCCATGATTGATAATACCGTAATATCTGATGCATGCAGCTCACTTAGTGGTTGACATAGAAACGCTAAAGAGCTGTTGGTGTCAGTACTCTGTTGCAGATTCCAGAGTTACCTATCTCTAGTTTTTGAAGGGGGGCCTGACAAGAAAAAAATCTGTTGTAGGGC